TTCCGGAGGATGAGGCCCAGAAATCAGGATTTAAAAAAGATTCCCAGGTGGTTCTAATGTGCAGCCAAGGTTGAGAACCACTGACCTAGAGTGAGAAGTACAGCCTTGCAGGCACCTGGAACTCTGGTGCGCACTTCCTCCTTCCTGGGGTTCCCACAGTGTCACTGTTGTGCTAGTGATTTTATTCCTTTTACTTAGAATTTTACCACCTATTTATCCATCCCTAATGCTATAGTGTAGTTTTGTTTGTACCATACTATATATATAATTTTGTGTCTTTGTGCAAATGCACAAGCCTGTGAGTGCTTCTTTAAATGTTGTACCCTGAATGCCTCCTGGCCTCCCTCCAGAGTCAGTCCTGTGCATATAGCTTTGGCTCATCTTTTTCACTGCTGTTTAATATTCCGTTAGTAAGCATATGCCACAGTTCACTTGTGCCTTGTATTAGTGGATATTGGGGCTGTTTCTGGTTGTGATGATTTCATGGACAATACCATGGATAACACCAAGCCTTACATATGCTGTGTTTTTTCCTATACACACAAACCGTTTCACTTAAGCGAAGCATTTACAGCTTCTCTTTGGCATATCTGAATTGTCAGCTTCACTACCCTTGTGCTTTGGGGACATTATTATTAAGTAAAAGAAGGGTTACAAGCACTGGGATACCTGAGAGTGGAGCTGATGTCTGAGACAGCTGCTAAGTGACTGATGGGTGGGGAGTGTAGACAGCATGGAGGTGCTGGACAAAGGGTCGATTCACACCCCATAGGAGCAGGACAATTCGAGATTTAATCACCTTCCCCAGAACAGCTCACGATTTAGAACTCATGAATTGCTTATTTCTGGAATTTTCTATGTCATATTTTTGGACCGTGGTTGACCAAGGTTAACAGAAACTGGGAAAATGAAACTGAGGTAAGGGGATGGGGATGGGGGATGGGTACTGTATTTCAAATCTGTTCTGGATACTTAATGGTCAAACATGCCAATCCAATGCAAACATGATTTTATTGTAAATCTAGTATTTTAGACACAATGGGAAATATTGTTCATTTTAATATCTATCCTTTCTAGACGCACACACACTTTACCTAAAAGTGTGGTCAGATACGTTTGCAGGCAACAGTAGCGTTCAGGACACAATCCAACATGGATGCAGCTGTTTTTCCTCTCCCTTTCCCCATACCCTTTAGTTTAGTGGGTCTTCACAGGGGAAATGAAAGTGAATCATGCAAAATAACTTACACTGATTTACAGGCAGACGTGTCTTCAGGACTCGTGTGCTCACCAGCCCTGGTTTACCTGCCCCTTCAAAGAGCATGTGACCTAGGAGCTGGGTAGAGCTGGGCCCATGCAGATGTCAGGTCAGGTGGTGAAATGTGCATCGTGTGCTCCTTCTCTCCGAATTACTTGAAACACACACCCACGTGGTTACCACACCTAGTATTTCCTTCACATGCTCTGCGATGGAATTTGCTGCTCAAACATCGTTATTTCATTTATTGGACAGTTTGAGGTTTGATACCTCTTTGAGATATTCCAAGTCTTCCATTACCTTTTTAAAAATTAATTAATTAATTATTATTATTATTATTTAATCCTCACTCAAGAATATTTTCCCATTGATTTTTAGAGAGAGTAGAAGGGAGAGGGGGAGACAGAGAGAAACGCCGATGTGGCAGA